TTCCTTGTCATGTACACATCCTTATTAAGGTTTGGTTCTAGTTCTTACTCTTTAACATTTAACTCATTGGGGTTAATGTTTTGCCATAGTTCATTACTTTAACTATGATTAAACAGTAGCTACGAAGGGCATGCTAAGGGGTAATGAACCAGGAAGGAACATTACCTTCTAAGTGGCATAAGGAGTAAGGAACTATGACTAAATAATATATTCCATGTGTTATATGTCAATAAGTAATGAACTAGAAATACACAATAAAATAACATCTAAGTATAAATGTTAAGAATAAGCAACTATTTCTAAACATCAACTGTTGTTTATATAGAAAGGATCAATAAACCATGACAAACACAATATTCTAAGTGGGACATGGTAAGGAACAATTAACTACGTCTAAGCATTATCTCCTATGGGTACAAGTAATAGTTCAATCGTTCCTCTTTAGCGTGCATACTTAGATTTTCATGTTTGGTTCTCTGTCATTGCCCTTTAATATGTACACATAAGAGTTCATATTTCGATATCATTTATTCTTCCTTAACTTGCAACATTTTGATGATGATGTATAAACATTGTACATTACTGTTTTACATGTCCACTTCATGATTAATGTTTTGACATAGTTTTTATTATATAATTTTTCCCGTGGATGGCATTATTTAGTTCTCGTCCATTACTTATTGACAAGTTAGTTATACACTATACCATTTTGTTATAGTTCATTACTTCTTAGCACTTACACGTAGAAGATAATGTTTCATCCTCGTTAATTGCTCCTTAACATATCTCTATCGTCTATAAAGATTATATCTGGTTCATTATGAATTCACGTACCATTAGCAGATAGGGTTTAATCATTAATGTTTGTTCCATACATTTTTATCCATAGTCACTGTTTAGATGGAGCTACTTACGTCATAACATGTACTCTTAGCAGTTAATGTTTAATCTTCTTTCCTTACTTCTTTACATATACATCTAGAAGATGGTGTTCAGACTAGGGTCTGAGCCTATGCCCTTTGAATGTGTTCATAACCTGTCATGTTTTAGGGCTGTCTTCTCGACAGGACTGCTTCCAACCCACGAATTTGTTCCTCACCCACTCATCTTTTGTTGTTCTGCTTTATCATTGTTCCTCCTCCCTTTGTTGTCTTGCCACCTCCTCTTTGCTACCTTCCTCTATTATGTCTCCTGTGCCTCATCCTTCAACCCTGAATGTCTTTGCCTTCAATCTGGCCTGTCCCACCTTTTTCTTACTATGCATGTCCTCTTCTCCATCGCCTCCCTCAAGTTCTTGCTCAATTTTGGGACACCCCTTATGGGGTCCATTCAGTGGCCCTCACAGTCTTCCCAACCTTGTTTCTATTACTCCACCTCTTCAATTCTCAGCTTTGGCTTCTCCTTTCCATCTTCTCTGATCCACACACTGCTCTTTTCTCAGGATATGCCATCTCTTTCTCATTGTGTGTGATATTATTCAATCCACCTCCCAGATCATGTAGCTATCCCTTTGTCCCACTCCTGGCACCCCTCTATCTCCATGTGCTTTTGTTAGGGATGTAATTGTCACCCTGGTCTCTTTTTCCCCATTTCCATTTGACTTCATTGCATTATCCACATTCCCTCTCTTTGATGGGATGGTCTGTAAGTCTTTTCCATCTTGGATTCTCGAGTAGCATTTCATCCATCTTTCCCGATGATACAGCTTTCCTTCTTCTCTACCTCTTTCATTCCTTCCTTATCCACTGCCCCTTCCTACTTCTTGCCTGATTGGATTATCATTGTAGTTCTCCTTGTTCTTACCCAGGTCCCTATCAAACCTCAAGCAGATGTTTCTGCTCTCCCTGGACACATATCCTATTCCTACTTGCTTTTGTATACATTTCTACACCCTTGATTCCTCTTGCTTTTTCATTCGTGCTTTTCCCTACTCCTTTGTCCTGGCCAGTCTTTCCTACCTTTATATTTCATGCCAGAGGCACGTGGTCACTCTTTTTCTCCCATATCCCCTCCTTCAATTTCTCTTTTTGGTGTTCTTTCTGTTTTGGACAAATGCTCTTGTTCTGTCTTTGTTTTGTCACACACACCCCCCTCTTTGTGGTTCCTCTCACTGTCCTTTCGTATCTGGGATGCATCCTCTCTCCTTGTTCCATTACAGTTTGAATCCACCAGTTCATATATCTTGTATATATCCCTCTGACGGCAGATGTTTGTATGCTCTCTCGAGTTTCCTTTCTTCAACTTTTCCTCCCTTTCACCACATTTCGTTTCACATTAAACTGTCTCCACCATTTGTTTGTCTTCTCTTCTGTAGC